CCTGTTTGCAGTGGAACCGAAGCTTAACAACACTCTTTTCTGAAAAAAGGTTTCTAATTAATCCCGAAGGAAAAAGTTTGAACTTTTGTTTTGTGTTTTTTAGTGAAGTGAATTAATTTGGTTTGTGATTCACGTTGCACTAAAGACCATGACATGGAGGCGAATGCATCGTATATCGCCCCCAAACAGGACGTATACTAAACACTCTAGATAAGCGAGAGGAGACCCCTCACTCATTATTCCCCATGTAGCTTAAGGCTTTTAGCGCGCAACGTTTATCGCACTTATTAAATGGATTAGAATGGTTTTGAGATGAGAAAGAGAGACGCACGGAAGGTCTAAGGGAAATTTGGCCCTAACGTTGTCATGCAAAGTGGTCCTAAGGTTTGGATAAAAAAGGGGAAACATCTACCCTAATGTTAGCATGCTTGGATTGAACACCTAATGTCTCTCCTACTCCCATCCTAAACGGAGGGACTAGGAACTCTATGGGGATCATGGCAAAAAGCACAAGAAAGCACCAAGCAAATTCAATCACAAGTAGAAGATGCACACATGAAAATGCAACACTTAGAATGGTGGGAAGGAGGAAAAATGTGTGGGGCAACACCCTCCACAAGCTCATCTCGACCTCAACAGCGATGCAAGAATGATGCAAACATGAAGGAAGCGCAAAAGAGATGAAAGCAAACGGACATTCAAATAGATCATCACTTTGAACCATATCCATAAGTATGCATTCAAGTGGAAAAACACAGATGTCGGCGAAATCTCGATTAAACAACCAAAACAGCGACATATATCCAGAAACATTTCATCCCTAACATATCTCACTGATCTATGATGATTCGAGATGAAACGGTATGCAAACAAACAAGCAAAATAGCAAAACAGGCCTACCAACACAGTGTTAATCAGTTAACCCCAGGGGTTAATCGGTTAACACATTGTTAACGTTTAAAAAATTTGAAAATTTGAACTGGTTAATCGGTTAACCATATGCGTTAACCGATTAACACTTTGAAAACTTTGAAAATTTTGAAAATCTGTGATGGTTAATCGGTTAACCATATGCGTTAACCGATTAACATTGTGCTGGCAGCAGAAAACAGCAAAGCAGAATCACTTTTCAACAGCTTATCACTTTTCAAAACACGCCAATGATCATATAATCACTTAATCACGAAATTAACTCAGAAAAACATGATTCCAACAGCATGTAAACAGATCCAAACAACAACATCACAAATCATAGCAACCAAAATTCAATTGAATATGAAAATTATCATGAACATGCAAATAAGCTCAAAAATGCTATGGATCTAGAATTCCAACCTTCGAAGCAGAGATTTGCTTCGGTTAATGTTGAATTAACTGGAATTGAACAGATTCGATGCTAGAGGTCCGGAATACGTCAAGATCTACACCAATTCTTATTGTAGCAATGGAGATCCTTCAAGATTAATCCAAAATAAGCCAAATAATCACTTCCAGATCTGAATCCAATTGTGCACGAAAATTAGATGGAGAAATCACTTCAATGGAGATGATGGATGGAGGTTTGAGCTCAAGAATTCATTGATTCCAATGAAGAATCAAAGAATTCAATGAAAAAAAGCTTTAAGTGAGGGTTTTGGAATTTGGAAAGTTGAGAGAATTTGAGAGAATGGAGATGAATTCTGAAAAATGAATGTGAGAAATGAAAGTTGGATCCCTTTGGTTTGGAGTGAATCACTTAAATATCACCTAGGTTTGGATCCCAAAGCAAGGTTTGGAAATTGGTTTGTGAATTGTGGTTTGGGCACTAAGAATGGGGTTTTGGAGGGAAATGAAATTATGAAATGATTCTAGATCCTTCCCAAGTGACAAATTTGAATTTAAGTGATCAAAATTGGACCCCAAATGGCTCTGCATTGAAAAATCACGTACAGAGGCAAAAAGTACACTGGTTAATCGATTAACCATATGCGTTAACCGATTAACACCTTTAAAATTTCAAATCTGGCCTTATTTTTCTTTGGTTAATCGATTGACCATATAGGTTAACCGATTAACACCTTCAAAAATTTGAATTTGGCGCCTTTTGGAGGGAAATCTGTCCATTTGCCCTGTTTTGACTATTTGGAGCTCTGTTAAGCTTCTGAATCTTGTTCTTGAATGTTATCACTGTGAAAATGCTTGACATGAGCCTGAGTGCTGCTTTCTGAATTGCTGTTCACCTGCAAAATAAAATAAAATTGGCCGCCTGACCGCCAAGCAAAATAAATGCCAGAGCCTCTGATGCTCGTTGTTCGTTGTTCAGTCTTTTGCGCCAAAATGAACTTGAGCCACAGGAATACCTCGATCCCATGCCTCGAGAACACATGCTATGATATGAAAAAATGCAAAATGCAAAGAAACAAAAGCCAGTTACGGTTAAAACGAAAGGCAAATTTTGGGGTGTTACACCAGCCAATCTGTCCAGCATTTGATCAATGAATGGCAGGGAGAGTGATCCTTCTTCGTGGCCTTGTTTAGCTTCCTATAATCCATACAAATCCTCAGACATGTAACTGTTCTTGTAGGAATTAACTCATTCTTCTTATTGTTGATCACTATCATGCCACCTTTCTTTGGCACACACTGAATGAGACTTACCCACATACTATCAAATATAGGGTAGATAATACCAACATCCAACCATTTGATGATTTCCTTCTTGACCACTTCCTTCATGATTGGGTTCCATCTTTTTTGGCTTTCTATATTATTCTTGGAATTTTCCTCTAACAAGATTTTATGCATGTAAGTCGTAGGACTAATCCCTTTGATATCATATATTTTCCAAGCCATAACCTTCTTGTGCTTCTTCAGAATTGTTAGTAACTAATCCTTCTGCGCAACAGGTAAATCAGTGCCCATTATGACTGACAACTTCTGTACTGCCTCTAGATAAGCATACTACAAATGAGCATGCAACTGCTTAAGTTCCAGCTCAGGGGAAGCGTCTACTAATGGTAAATTGTGGTCCTTCATCTCAATGGATAATTCCAACATTTCTACAGAAGATGCATGGACATTTAGGGTCCACTAATAATACCTTCATGAGGAACTTCTTCTCCTTCTTCCAACTTTCTTGGCTCTTTCTCTATCACATCATTAGACTTGAGTGAATTTTTGGGGATGATTCCCTCCCAGCTTGATATCATAGAACAACCAACTACATCTTCTTCATGATATTGTAATGCATTGAGCACATAAAACACAACTTACTGTCCATTGACTCTCATGGTGAGTTATCCTCTTTCCACATCAATTAAAGTTCTGCGCATGGCTAGGAAAGGTCTTCCCAACAGAATGAAAGTCTCTTAATCAACATTGAAATTTATAATAATGAAATCGGTCGGGAACGCAAATTTATCAACTCTTACTAGCATATATTCTATCTTCCCTTGAGGATAACAAATGCTTTTGTCAGCTAATTAGAGAGTAATTGTTGTAGGCCTAACAGCTCCAATCCCAAGTTTCTTGAGTATGGACAAAGGCACAAGGTTTATGCTAGCTCCAAGATCACACAATGTTCTTCCATAAAAAGCATCTCCTATGGTGCATGGAATGGTAAACCTTCCAGGATCCTTCAGCTTTGAAGGGAGCTTGCCTTGAACCAATTGACTACACTCTTAAGTTAGTGCAACAGTTGCAAATTGTCCCACTTTTTTCCTCTTAGTGAGTACATCTTTCATAAACTTTAAGTAGTTTGGCCTTTGTTGGATGACATCAACCATTGGTATATTTATGTGAAATTGCTTTAGAATCTCCATGAACTTGGAAAACCGCTCCTCCTCCTTGACCTTCATAATCATATGAGGAAAAGGAGGGGGAAGGTCTTTCTTGCAATAATTGTTGGGCTCTGTCAACTTCAGGCACGACTTCTGGTTGTTTTTTTGGGTTTGATGTCATGCCAGAAGCATTATTTTTAGATGTTTCTTCGTCTTGTTCCTTTGAGGAAGGTTCCTCATTGGATTCTCCTTTATCTTCAAAGTTGTCTTGGAGAGGCAGTTGTTGTCTTGAATGGTTGTTCTTCGTTCCAGCTCCTTCACATTCTTTTCTGATTCTAACAACAGGTCCAACCTTAATTTTGGATTTCTGTTGTTGCATTTTTTTAAAAATAATAAATGAAAAGAATTATTGATCTCATCATTGGCTTCAGCAACTCAAAATAGGTTTTATACTCCAAATGAAAAGAAAAAAAATGCAATGATATTGAAGAAAGGAAGAAAAAGACAATAATATTGAAGAGAGGAAGAAGAAGTTGCAAAATCATTCAATTTTTGGACTTCATCCCTCCTTTAAAAACCCCCTGTGTTGCATTTCCACGTGTAATAAAAGGTATCATAAGTAAAAACAATAAAACAATTGGCATGTCAGCACATTTGTCACATTGACTTTTTTTAACCGAACATTAACATTATGGACAAACATCAACAATAAAGTGAGATATAGGAACTCAGACAAAAAAATTCAAGAACCAAAATAAAAAATACATTAACTTATAGAAATCAAAAGACTATTTAAGCCAATTTCTTATTATATAATTATTATCGAGGAAACTTACATAAGACATATCATTTAGAAAATTTGCATATCCCAAATCCTAACGTCAGCAATACATTCAAACATTCATAGGAATACATTCAAACATTTATTAAATTTTAAAATAAATGATAGAGATTAAAAATAGTTTTTATTTTTCTCTTTCATCTATTATTAAAATAAATAATAAAAAAGAGAGGAAAAATAGTACCATTTATTTTAAAATATAATAATTTAGATTCATTCTCATGTTCTTAGTAGAAATGATATATATATATATATATATATATATATATATATATATATATATATATATATATATATATATATATATATATATATATATATATATATATATATATATATATATATATATATATATATATATATATATATATATATATATAAAGTGGAAAAAGAAGAAAAAGATGATGAGACATTGGTATCCAAGAGCAGTCGCTCATGGCGTGGTAGCGAGTGGACAGTTGTGGCAGCCGTGTGGTTTATTGAGGATGACGACTAACTGTATCAGCAGCAACCGTGATGAATTAGACGCCATTTTCAAACAGAAGCGAACTCTTCGTACTCAGCTCAGAAAAACCCTCAAGGCCATCGACCCCTCCCTCAGATCTCAACAAGGTACTATACAATCTAATTAATTCTTGTTTGTTCTTTGTTATTCATACAGAATCGTTTCTTGTTCAGATTACGCTATTCAGGACATAGTTTTGGGAGCTCCGTGGTTCAAATCAAGTCTTAGGTTATGCGCATACATAAGTTGCAGTGCTTTACGGGAAGTCGATACTTTCAAACTATTGTCACACATTTTGCAACCTCAGTTTAATGGTATATTCATTATCTTGTTATTTAATTACAATTATCAGGAAAATTAGTATGTTGATCATAGTTTTTAATTGTGGCGGTGGCTACTGAGGCTGCAATATGCGGTTCCGAGGCAGTTTTTGCTGTTATTTACAATCACTCTGCAATTGCAAAAACATAGTCACTAGCCACAACTTTTTATATAAACTTAAATTCAATTATATAAAAAACTGTTAAAGATATCATATCTCAGATATTTTATACATTTATCACACTGGATATTATTTTATAGATGTATATGTTTTGATACTGTCAGGATTCAGGAACTACTGCAACAGTTGAAAGAACTTTTTTTTTTAATATGAACATCATCATCATCATCATCATCATGAATCAGATGTCAAATTGTATGGGAGATGAATGTTTTCATAATATGAAAATTTATCGAGAACAATTATGTCTAATAGAGTATATGAATTTGATTTATCAACACGATATGAACAAATGCAGGTGGTAAAAAACTATATGTACCGCGGGTGGAGGATAAAAACAGTCACATGCGTATGCTTAACATATCGCGTATTGATGACCTTGTTGCAAACTCAATGGACATCTTAGAACCAGCTCCAGTTGATGCTGATGGAAATGCACGTGAAGACGGTACCTGTCTCTCTCTTTCATTCATTGCCGAACTCTCTTATCTTACTACTTCAATATTTAGGTCCCGTTTACTCGGGGAAGCCTTTTCTACTTTTATTTCCCGTTTACTCGGGGAAGCCTTTTCTACTTTTATTTCCTTAACTTTGTATTAGTCTTACTTGTTAACAAGGATAAAGAAGGTTCTTAAGTGCACAATGACAATCTCAAAAGAGCTATTTTCATCATTTCTTTTAATGCATCATCCTTAGCTAGCATTTTTAATTCTCTTCACCACAATGACTCACTTGGTAACAATTAAAACTAATATAAATTTTAGTAAATAAAAATAGAAAATGTGTTCACAAAGTATGCTGATTCTTAGCTTTCAAAGATGTAGCAAACTGCAAAAACAATGCTTAACCTCCAAATTTGGATCTTCTTCAAAATGCCATCATTATCAAGTCATAGCGGCATCATGTGAAGCTAAAATTTTGTTGAATCTTAGATTTTTTAGGTTTAGAAGGGTCACTCGTCTGTTGTTCCTATGAGCATCCAAATATTCCAAGACATGACCGTTTAGCCTACAACTCTACATCCTACATGAGACAAGTTTAAATATGATTTGCATATCCTAATCAGATAGTCAGGGTTCCTAATCTAAAAGATGCCGATTATTTTTTCCGGAAGAATTAAAAAGATAAAGAAATAGTAAATTCTTAAAATGATATTAATTTGTATAAAGCTGCTTACACAAAATCAGATACAAGTTATGTACACCCTTCTGCCTCTATTGGCTACTTTTGTGCAGTGAATGTTGTTTTTCTCATTCTTGTTGGGTTGACTTCCATCTAGTGTATTTTTATAATTATCCTGATTGGCCAATATCAACAACCTTCTGAAAGATCACCTTGGTGCAGTTTTGCAGGCGAATGACCCAGTTGATATTTTGTTCTTACCTGGTAAGCTTCTCATATCTTATTTGATTATCGGTTTCTAATCTTTGCATATATCTAAGCAATTATATTATTTCTCCAGGATTGGCATTTGATAGATCTGGTAGACGTTTAGGCCGTGGTGGAGGGTATGTTTTTTTTTTTTTATTTTTAATTTCTACCGTTCAGACCATTAAAATTTTTTTCTTGTGTGTTAAGTTTGAGTGAGACTTGTGCATTGCACAAGTTATGAGCGGAGTATATAACTATAGTTTTTAGAGTTGGAGACTTACCACACAAAAATTAATGCATAACAGTGAAAAAAAAATCCATTGAAATATTTAAAGATGATTCTGGTACCATAATTTTGTCCGGATAGTACATATTATGTTTACAAGGAGAAATAAATAATAGTTCAACTCCCTAAATGCATGAATCTAAATATACATGAGCCGAAAGACTTAAATGCTCCTTTTAATGGAAAACATACAATGAATTTTCCTATTTCCAACACTCCCTTCAAGCTGGTGAATAAATAATCTTCCTTCTCAGTTTGGATACAATTCGTTCAAAATTTGAGCCACTCAATCTTTTAGTGAGAATATCCGCAAGTTACCCTTGTGAGAACACATATGGTGTGCAAATCAGCCAACTATCGATCTTCTTTTTAATGAAGCGTCTACTAACCTCAATATTCTTAGTTCGATCATGTTGAACTAGATTATGAGCTATACTGATAGCTGACTTATTATCATAGTAGAGCTTCATGGGTCCTTTCCATTTGGTTTTCAAATCTTCTAAAATAATTTTGAGCCAAAATAATTCACAAATGTCTTGTGCCATGGCTCAAAATTCAGTTTCAGCACTAGAACGTGCTACTACATTTTGCTTCTTACTTCTTCAAGTCATAAGATTTCCTTCAAGAAAGGTGCAATACCCTGTAGTGGACCCTTCTATTAACAATTGAACCTGCATAGTCTGCATCAGTATAGGCCTCAAGGGTTGTATTTCCATTTCTTTTGAACAAAATTCCTCTTTCTAAAGTTCCCTTGAGATACTACCAGAGCTATTAATCCCGGATAGCGGAGCAGAGCGATCGACCTTAAAAATGGACTAGCGGGATAGTAGATAGCGGGATAATTTTTTAGATTAATTATATGAATTAAAAAATTATATACATATACATAAAATAATAATAATAATAATAATAATAATAATAATAATAATAATAATAATAATAATAATAATAATAATAGAGAATAAGAAATTGGATCATGCTAATAATAATTATAGGAAAAATAATTAAAAGCTTTCTCTTTTAATGTTTGAAGCTGTCAAGTAAGAGCAACTTTAGTGCAGGGTTGTTAAACCAAAATTCTTTATAGCTTACGTTAGTAATAAGGAATTTGCATTATAGTAGTGCTGACATGGCATATGGGATGCTCTAAAACTAGTTTACGTGCTCTACACAAGCAACGCACTCTAACTCATTATTTAACATAAATAATAGATTTTTATTAATTATTTAACATAAATAATAGATTTTTATTAACCATTTAATACCATGTGGGGTCAAGTTTTGGTTTCTTATATACAACCACCATTAAAGTAAAAACTAATCAAATCAACTTTAAATTTTTTAAATCCTACAAATCATTTTGGACCCACAAAAAGTAATAATGATAGATAATAAGAGAGTTTTAACTGGTTATTGTAACAATTATCTTTTGAGAATATTTGGGGAACTGGAACAGTTTTGTCTTGAAAAGAGAAAGAGGTGTACGTACTTATTTCTTCAAATTCTGATTTAAAAATATTTAAAATAAAATTTTTAATGGAACCGGATCCAAATCCTATCAACTTTAAAAATTAGGGTTTCTTTTTAAAAACCTAAAAAAAAGTTGCGGCACATCTTCTTTTTTCCTACCCACAACTTGTGAAACATGGGTACTCCACTTTAGGTAAAGTATCCGTACTGGGTACTGGTACGCATCGAAGCCGTACCAATTTTTTAATTTATTTTTAAAGTTGGTATACCAACCGGTACACATTTGGTATCACCTATCCAACTTTTTAAAATTTTTTGGGATGGTATAATTTGGGCTTTTTACTGAGTAAAGATTAGGTTAATTATTCTATTAATGAATAAAAAAGTGAAAGAAAAACCAACTCATTGCATTAAAACTTCATTCATAACCAAGTTCTTCCTGTTATGCTGAGAGAAATTGAAGTATATAGGGATTTACTCACTCATTAAAAAGAAATAGACTCAATCCAAATAGGGCTTCATCTTCTCACGAGAAATAACGAGGTTTATAATAAAGGATTAATCAAATATGGGACATTGGTGGAGATGAATGAGATGTATTTGACGGAGTTGGTATTCTTGAAGTTGCTAATCTTTCTCTGGATGAACTTGAACTAGAAGTCGCTCTTGGAGAGGAAAATATTGATATTCAACCATGATTTCGCTCATCAAACAAAAGAAAGAAAATAAAACTCACTTGAAGAACTGAGAGAAGCGTCGGAGGGTTGTCGTGGCCGGAGGAAGATGAAAAACGAAAAATAGCAAGAAGTGCTGAGAACAAAACACGAAGGAATAAAAACAAAAAAAACAGTCAACTGCTCCACGCGGGTAGCGACCCGCGAACCCGACGAAATCGCCCGTGTTTTGAGTATGAGACACACACCCTGAATCTCGCGCGGTGGGTGGCCACCCCCGGCCGGAATGCCCAGAATCGCGCCGATTGCGGCCGCTATTCATAACTCTGGATACTACAAGATTCTAAGAACTGCTTGGAAGTGGATCTCTTTAGGACATTGCATGACCTGACTAACCATTACAATGTATGCAATATCGGATCTAGTGAGACAAGTAATGGAGAAAGATAATTAATGAGTCCAAAACGCATTACTACAAATTCATAATGTCCCTCGTGAGTTCTGAAAGTAGTTTTGGGAATGTCATCCCTCTTTCATTCTCATTTGGGGGTATCTAGATCGTATATCCAATTTAGAAAAAATTCTTGCCCCTCCCAATTGATCAAGTAATTCATCAATAATAGGAATAGGAAATTTACCCCGTACTAGAGGTGAATCACGGCTGCAATCAGCGTGCTGGGCGGTCCGGCTGGAGCGACCACCCACCAGGCCACCACATGCGAAACAGGGTGCGTTTTGGCATTTGAAAACACAGGCGATTTCGCCGTTATAGCGGGTCGCGTGTCAATCCTGAGTGGAGCGGTTGACTCCGTTTTTATTTTTTATTTCTTATAATTTTTTTTTTTATTAGATATTAAGAACCCGGTGCTCCTCCTCCGCTGTTCTTCTTCAAGTAAGTTTTGTTCTCTAGATAAGTTCTGTTCTGTGTTATTCTTTCTAATTTATTTTCGGTTCTTTAGTTCTTTATTTTCATCTCTTTTCTTTCATCCCTTTTCTTTTATCTCTTTGAGTTCTTTTTCTGTTTTATTCCTAGACAATATGACAACATCGTCCTCTACACCGAATCTTACCTTGATTGCTTCATGTGGTCAAACCTTCAAACTAAGCGGTAGTAATATTGACATTGCACGACAATATAATTTCCATGTTTTGCACGAGTAATTTCAATTTAGGGGCACACATGCCTTCACATGGAATCTTTCTTCCATCTCCCACTTCGACATAATGTGGTGCGGCAGACTTTTTTTTGACTAATGTAAATGCGATAAAATTGTGAGATGCTCCACAATCTATCAATACTACTAATTATTATTCCCAAGAGTTCCTCATAACTAAATTGATATTTTTTTTAGTAAGACCAAATATACTATACATGGATAATTGTTAATTCATCATAATTATGATCTTCCATATTTTTCTCGAGTAACAAGATTTTGTTTGTTTTCACATACATGTCTATAGGTAAATCTCTCATCACATTGGAAACATAACCTTTTACATGATTTTTATCTTGCAATTTGGCATTTGTCAACCTTCTAAAACCTCTTCTTTTGGAAAAAGAATTTGGTCGTGACTGACTTGTCTGTCCTATGGAATTTGTAGCAGTAGAAACCTATGAAGCACACCTCTAAAAGTAGGCATATCGTGGTGTTCGACATGTGTCGGTGTAAGTCTGTCCTATGGAATTTGTAGCAGTAGAAACCTATGAAGCACACCTCTAAAAGTAGGCATATCGTGGTGTTCGACATGTGTCGGTGTCCGTCCGATACTTGTATGACACGTATCAGAAAAATCAAACAAGTGATCCCAAAAAATGTTTTTTTTTTCTTTGATCGGACACTCTTTAAATTCGGTGTCCGACATTTGTATGACACTAATACAACACGTTTCAGACAATTCAAACAAGTGTTTTATAAAAAATAATTTTTTCTCTGTTTCGACACACTTTATACATTTCTCAAACAAATCTCTCATTGATTTTAAAGGGTTAAACATATATTAAAACAATATTATCAATGAAGAATTAAAGATATTAATTTTGGTTAGAATATTCTTAATTCTATAAATAATAGATGAATAAATGAAACTCAAATACTATCATGCATGTAACAGTGTCGGTGTCCTATATTTTTTACATTATCGGTGTCGGAGTGTCTGTGCTGCTGTGTCCCGGTGCCCGTATCGGAGTCGTATTTCATAGGTAGAAACAGTCTGTGGATGGCTTTTATGTCCTGAATCCCATGTCGCGGTCCTGGTATTGTTTTAGTTTCTAAATTCTAAAGGTTGGTTTTCCACCGGAATTTGTACCACCATTTCCTTTACTCAACAACCTATTTTTCTCACCCACCCTTTGCGTGTAATCCATCCATCAATTTTTTCGGTCGATCTACAGGATGCAGTTTCAGGTCTGCCCTTATAATGTCTTTTAGACAGTTAGAAATATTCCCTCCAATTAGGAAGGTTCACTGCATTTTTGAGAACCTGCATAATTGTTAATAATAATCTGGGATTTGGGTTGGAATTGTTTGAGCACAGCACTTCGGAATTCTACCCAGGTGGGATTTAGGGTTTGAGAATTCCAACCACTAATACTAAGTGAGTGCCTTCCCTTCCATTGCCACCATAACTGCTTGTAACTTGTTAGGTTAGGTTCATGCTTTCTCTTCAAATAAAAATATAATAGAGATATGGATGGATGGCGAGGTGG